GTGTTGCTGGTGTCGAATGAGACCACTACTAAAGTCCGAACGCTCTCACGCACATGTGTACTGTTTGAAATACGGCTCACTCGGTCGTACCCTATACAATTCGTCTCCGCAATCGTAATGTCGCAGACTCGGTGAACGTCATAGTCGCCGTCTAAGGCGTTATGCCCAGAAGAATATGCAAGTGTAAAAGTCAGGAGAGCCTGAAGCATGATGATGAGGTTGCGTGTTACAGCAAAAGTGCACCGTCGGGGAATCAAACCCCGACCTCATCCTTGGAAGGGATGAATCCTAACCATTAGACCAACGGTGCTCTCATCGTTGCTGCTCGTTTCATGCACACACAATGCCCGACACGGTCACTCGAGCCACTATTGCAAACAAAATACAAATACAAAGCAAACGTACCGCACTACTCGTATCGAATGCCTGTTAAACAAGGACAATCCGCTCCGCTGCTGACCTCACATCACGAAACATTTTTCATCGCTCGACGCATGTCGGTGTCATGTCGGCTTTATTTTACACTCACAAAAGCTTCTGCACCGTTTTGATGGACGCTCGACCTTTCTCTTCAATACTTTCCGCACGAAGATAAAAAGCGCCACAAGTGGACTCCGTGAGCGCAGAAATAATAGAGACCATTAGTTATTCTGAAATTCCGTTCGCTCATGCAGTGTTTCTACACAAAAGAACGTCTTATGGCTTGTATTGAACTGTGATGAATGGCTGCTGTTGGCATAAGGTGATGCAGCTCGTGCATGTGGAGGGAGTTTGTATGCTGGCGTGTATATGTGCGTTACAGATTGCGCTGAGAAAGTACAATCAGATGTAAGTAACTAAGTGCGATAAGGTGCAACAGTGGTGCAGACTAAGTGGGAGACCTCGGCAGAGGTATACCAGAGGTCGTTCGAGACCCAGTGTCATCCATTAAGTGAAGCCTTCAGGCCTTGGTGTGATGGGGTTCACCAGCGTTGTCCTGTCAGGCAGTGACGTACCCACTTCTCTGACCATTGTCCGATCCAAGACTTTGTGACACACATCAGAGAGAAAGGGAACTCGACAATGACCAATGATTGGTTAATAAAATAGATGGTCAGCGTGACCATAAATGATGATTGGTTCGTTAAATGGACGGTCAGCTAGGTAAAGATGTAAAGGAATCGATAGCAAGCGACGATGTAAGCGCACAGAAGAGAAGAGATAACACACAATATTAAACTCACTTTTGATTTTGCTACTTCGCCCACAAGCATCATCTACTGAGCGCTCGCGTCAACCTAGGAGTTTAACAGCCGCCAATTATGGGCTCGGCTGCTTAAGTATGTGGATGAGCAGAAGGAATCGGGGGGACCCACTTAGCCACGGAATGCCGTATATCAAACACTTTTTTAACTACTACTTACAGAATTGGGGACATCTGCAACGCGAATTATCACCCACGTAAATGTATGGTTGCCCGTTTTCAAGGTTTGCCCGGCAAGGAGAAAACGCAACCTCTCTTACTGGTTTAGCATGTGAAACTCACTTGTCGGACGTGAGGTTCTCGTCTCAATTTGATTTCTTGGAAGAAGGATCGCATTCATTCATTTGGATGTTTTGGCAGCCATTTTGAGAGAGATCGATAGACTAGTGTTTACATACGCTGCTCTGTTTCGGTTCGATGACCGTGACCCTCTGTGTGATGCCCAACGAAATCACTACACCGATGTAGCTGCTACGAAGTAAAAGCGGGTGTAGTAGTCACATGTGTTGATGAGAGAGGAACGGAATTGAGGTGGACTGCGAAAGGCTATCCGGGTAATGCAGACATGCGTGCTAGTGTCGTGTTGGTCCTTATGGACCAGCATGCTCACACACAGGGCTATAGCTACTACTGAAGGCTGCACTCAGCCGATAAACGTATTACAGCCGTACCTTAGGTCCCGGGGGTTTCAGTCAAGTAGACAACGCTTCAGGAAATCTGTCATCGGTACAAGTCGAATAGTAGACGCTTTATGATTACCGTTCATGGTATAGGTCCCATAAATAGTGCAATGGAAAGTATTGTGGAAATCAAAGCTTCTCAATTTTTTTGCGAGTACGTAATGATTCGCTCGCCATCGATTGATTTTTACATCAATTGTAGTTGCAAGTATACTATTGCTTCGCCGACTGGTGTTTGAAGTCGATAGTGTGCTATAAATTTCATGTCAAAGAATCTCATTGATTCGCTGCACTCTCTCAACCAAGTCAAGCTCATCGCTCATTGCATAAGTACCATCGTATCGGTTACCCTGTCGTATATCATATGTAAGCACGTCGAACGAATGCGAAGTTAACGTGTGCGCGGCCAAGCAGGTGGAGCGGTCTTATCGACGCCAATAGTCTCATTTGGACCGACGCAGCGTCATCCCGACGCGGATAGTCTCCCATCGGTCACGACATCGCCATAGCTCGGTTTGGATCAATACAAACTTCCCACCAGCCAGTCTCACGGTGCCACCATTCCAAAGATGGAAATCCCGTATGCATCGGACGTTATTCGCAGTGTAGTAGCGCCGCTGCTGTTTGATACGCTTGCTGTATGTGTTGCTGGTGTCGAATGAGACCACTACTAAAGTCCGAACGCTCTCACGCACATGTGTACTGTTTGAAATAGGCTCACTCGGTCGTACCCTATACAATTCGTCTCCGCAATCGTAATGTCGCAGACTCGGTGAACGTCATAGTCGCCGTCTAAGGCGTTATGCCCAGAAGAATATGCAAGTGTAAAAGTCAGGAGAGCCTGAAGCATGATGATGAGGTTGCGTGTTACAGCAAAAGTGCACCGTCGGGGAATCGAACCCCGACCTCATCCTTGGAAGGGATGAATCCTGACCATTAGACCAACGGTGCTCTCATCGTTGCTGCTCGTTTCATGCACATACAATGCCCGACACGGTCACTCGTGCCACTATTGCAAACAAAATACAAATACAAAGCAAACGTACCGCACTACTCGTATCGAATGCCTGTTAAACAAGGACAATCCGCTCCGCTGCTGACCTCACATCATGAAACATTTTCATCGCTCGACGCAGGTCTGTTAGAATTAACCTAGGTTGAGGAGCTGATGCTAAGAAGAAGATGGCTTACGGCCGGGGATGAAAACCGAATAAAGAGTTGTATTCAAAAGGTTACTAGCTTCGAAAACGAATGGCTAGTAGTAGCCGGTGGCTCTCAGCCACCTATATCGTGCCCTGTCTCCACCGCTTTCTGTTTTACCTATCACTGGGTAATTACGTCTCGTAAATACCTTTCGTAAAAACTCTGCTGTGTCATATGCAGAATGAAGACGATTGCGTGGGTGGGGGACGTAACTGCGGGGGGGGGCACAGTTCTGGTGAACCCCAAACACCAGGTCGTGAGTGTCAGTCACAATTTACTTGAACACGGCGGGGATAGAACCCGCACACACTGTGAATCCCTCTTCCTTAACGACTGGGCCAATCCGATACATCGTCACCGCTAACATCCCACAATATAAACCTGCCAAAGAACAATACAACTAATACAGATATGTAATGTACACCCTGCACAAGTCGCCGCATCATCACTCACTAACACTCCCCCTTGATGTGCGTGCGACGTGTGCGCCCTACACCGCCATGCACAGACCCGTGATGAACTTGCTGTACTTGTCTCTTGGAAGTGCCTTGGTGAATCTATCCGCGACCATTTCTTCTGTTGGCTTGAACTCTAGCGCGATCACTGCACTTGCAACCTTTTCACGCAAAAAGTGAAATTTGATGTCGATGTGCTTCGTGCGCGAGTGGTACACAGGATTCTTGGCCAACGCGATGCAACCTTGATTGTCTTGAAAAATCATCGTCGCGTTCTTGGCACAGTAGTTCAGGTCCTTGAGCAGACCTCGAAGCCAAATTGCTTCCTGCGTCGCGCTGTACAGTCTCATGGACTCTGCTTCAGTACGTGAGGTCGCGACCGTTGGTTGACGCTTCGAATTCCACGATATCACGCTTCCGTTCAGGAAGAAATCGTATCCTGTTGTCGAACGCCGCGTGTCGAGGTCGCCAGCCCAGTTGGCATCCGCGAGTCCGATCAGCTCTCCCTTGTTGATGCCGCTGAACACGATGCTTAAGTCTTGAGTCGTCTTGAGATACTTGAGAATCCGCTTTGCTGCTGTCCAATGCGACTTGTCGTAGCGCTCGCAAAACTTCGCAACTTCGCCGACCGCATGCGCAATGTCCGGTAGTGTACATGTGGCGATGTACATTAAAGCGCCCACCAGCTCACGGTATGGGTACTTTGGTACAAACGCTTCCTCTTGACCCATCTTGATCAGCTTCGAGCTACTGTCCGCCGGCGTGTGCACGTCCTTGCAGTTTTCAACGCCAAACTTCTCCGAAAGTCGCTTGATGTACGCCTTCTGGTTCATCTTGATCGTTCCATCTTCGCGCTTGCGATGAATCTCGATCCCGAGGCAGTACTTGAGATCTCCAAGATCTTTAATGCTGAAGTCTTCCATCAATGAGTTCTTGATGCTTGCGATGTGCTCCTTCGTCTTGCAGGAAATCATCAAGTCGTCCACGTAGATCACGATGATGACGTACTCCTCTCTTGTCACTCGAACGAACACACACGGGTCCGCTGCACTGCTCTTGAACCCTTGATCATTCAATTGCTGACTCAACTTGTTGTTCCACTGCCGCGCCGCTTGCTTCGTCCCGTATAGCACCTTCTGCAGCACCCGGGCTTCCTTCATCTTCAAAATCGTCAGGTTGGTCCATGTGGATCTCCTCTTCCACTTCGCCGTCGAGAAACGCTGTGTCGACATCAACGTTTTCTGCTTCCAGGTCTTCAGCTGCAACGATCGCCAACACTGTGTTGATAGATTCCTTGCGCGCCACAGGTGCAAAGGTCTCGTTGTAGTCGATGCCAGGACGCTGCGTGAACCCTTTTGCAACCAAGCGTGCCTTGAACTTGATGATCTTCCCTCTTGGATCGCGTTTAATCTTGAAGATTCACTTGCAGCCTACGGCCTTCTTGCCCGGTGGCATGTCCACTAGCTTCCATGTTCTGTGTTCTTCAAGCGACTTCATCTCGCTCTTCATTGCCTGCAGCCACTGCTCCTTATAGTTGCTCTTCATCACTTCTTGATAGCTGGACGCTTGTTCTCCATCTTCTTCAGCCGGGAAACAGTAGAAAGAGTCGAAGTCACCTTCGTAGTCGTCCAAATTCAAGCGACCGCGACGATGGCTTCGAAGTTCTTGTTCGTAGCGAACCACGCCGCGCTTTTTCCGAACCGGTCACACCATCCACTCTTCTTCTCCGTTTCTTCCGGGTGTGCTGGATGCGCGCGTAGGAATGGTGTCTCTTGGTCGATCACTTGGTCCGTCATGAGAGCTGCTCTGCGCTCGAAGTGGTAGGGTGCGTAGCTCTTCTTCGGTCACCGGCGCTGGTATGTCTTCACCATCGGGTAGCGACGCCTCCACAATTTCCTCTTCTTCAATGACATCGAAGACCCGCGTGTCTCTGCTTAACGATGCTTTCGAGACAGAATGCTCAGAGAACGTGACGCTTCTTGAAATCACGATTGAGCCATCGTCCGCACTAAGAAGCCGATACGCCTTTTGGTCGTTCGCACAGCCGAGAAAGAAACATCGCACGCCTGAGTCGTCCAGCTTCTTCCTCTTCTCCTTTGCCACATGCGCATAGCATTGCGCACCAAACACGCGCATGTGATCGACGCGCGGAACCATCTTGTACACCATCTCGTGTGGGCTCGAGTTCTTGTTCAACGCGTTCGGCAGATGGTTCTGATGTCTGCTGCTGTCATCATTGCTTTGCATCAGTACGACTTGTCGAGGCCGCTTTCCTTGAGCATACAGCGCGTCATCTCCACCAGCGTGGGGTTCATCCGCTCCGCCATCCCGTTCTGCTCTGGGTTGTACGGAACCGTGAACTCTTGCTTAATGAACTTTGCCTTGCAAAACTTGTTCATCGTTTCATTCCGGTATTCGCCGCCGTTGTCACTTCGCAACACCTTTATCTTCGTTCCAGATGCTGTCTTGATATCTTGATAAAACCGCTTGAACGCACTCGCAACGTCGCTCTTCTTTTGCGACGGATATACCGTTACATACCTGCTCTTCATCATGATGAAGGTTACGGCGTAACTGAAACCAGACTTGGACGCTGGCGTGATAGGTCCGAGAACGTCGGAGCACACCACCACGTCGGAACGCGAACTCTCCCTGGTTTCAGCGTCTTCTTCAATTGTCTTGAATGACTTGCGCACTTGCTTTGACGCTGCGCATACGTCACACGCAACGTTCCTCTTTACCGTAGCGCCCTTGATCCGTCCTTCATTAATCATGGCATTCAGAGTACCATACGACACGTGGCCCAGTCTTCTATGCCATAGCTCAGTCTCGTCTTCGGCTATGTGGCACTCCGTACAATAGTCAGCATTGAGATACAGTAGGAAAAATCCTGCTTCCGTCCTGTTGCGACGGGTTTCCTGCCACGCTTCACCACGCACTCGTTGCGCGTTATCTCCACTGTCATGCCGCGCGCTGCCGCAGCCGTGAGCGAAAACAGGTTCTTGGACGAATCTTGAACGTGAGGTGTGTTTTTAAGGCGAGCGTCGACCCACGCATTCCCTGTCCAGACGCGCAGCTTCACTTTCCCATGTCCAATGACATTCAGCTTCACGTCGCTTTTTGCGCTTGAGATACTTCGCGCATGATGCACTTCTTCGTAATCTTCGAACGCATCTCGATCCTTGCACATGTGTGCTGACGCCGCACTGTCCATGACCCAGCTGTCGCTCGCGAAACCTTCGCAGGCATTGAACGCGACGTTCGACTGGTCATGCTGGTGCTCCCTTGGCCCTCGACCGGACCGACAATCTCTGGCGTAGTGTCCGAGCTTGCCACAGTTGGTGCAGGTCCCTGATGTTCCTTTCGCGCGCCGTCCTTGTTGCTTCTTCAAGTACTGCTTACTCTTCCTCGTGCCTGTGTAGAGAGCAGGTGCATCTTCTACCCGTGCAGCCTCATTCTAGCGGACTTCTTTGGCGATCAACTTGCTCACGAGGTCACTAAAACTGAAGCTTGCGACGGACATGCAGAATGCATGTACCAAGCTCTCGAAGCTTGAAGGTAGACTCCGCAACAGTACTGCGCACACGTCCTCTTCACTTGGACCGCAGTTCGCGCGCTTCACGAGGTCCTCCAGCTCCATCACATAACCGCTCATGCTTGATGCTGCATACTTGAACGAGACCAACAGTTCTTTCAGCCAATGTCGATTCGCCATGCCATGACTATGATGAAACCGCGCCAAATGTCCCCACACTTCTCTTGCAGTGGCAGAGTCGATGATATGCATCAGCTGCGAATCGCTCCGATTAAGCACGATCGCGGCGTGGGCTTGCTGTTCCTTGGCCTCACTCATTGTCTCATCGCCCGCGATCGCGCCCCACAGCCCCTTCGACATCAGGTACATCTTCATCTTGTAACTCCACAACCAAGAGTTCGAGCCATCGAAAGGCTCGACCTTGAAACCGGAACCGTTGTTTAAGCTCATAACCTGTTAGAGTTAACTAGGTTGCGGAGCTGATGCTAAGGAGGAGGATGGCTTACGGCCGGGGATGAAAACCGAAAAGTGAGTTGTATCCAAATTGTTCCTAGGTCCAAAAGCGAATGGCTAGTAGTAGCCGGTGGCTCTCAGCCACCTATTTCGTGCCCTGTCTCCACCGCTTTCTGTTTTACCTATCACTGGGTGATTACCTCTCGTAAATACCTTTCGTAAAAACTCTGCTGTGTCATATGCAGAATGTAAACGATTGCGTAGGTGGGGGACGTAACTGCGGGGGGGGGGTCACAGTTCTGGTGAACCCCAAACACCAGGTCGTGAGTGTCAGTCACAATTAACTTAAACACGGCGGGGATAGAACCCGCACACACTGTGGATTCCCTCTTCCCAAACGACTTAGCCAATACGATACATCGTCATATCGCTAACATTCCACAATACAAACCTGCCAAAAAAACAATGCAGCTAGTGCTAATACGCGAAATACATCATTTACAAGTCGCCTCATCACCACTCGCCAACAAATCAGTGAGAGAGGTTGCGTTTTCTCCTTGCCGGGCAAACCTTGAAACGGGCAACCATACATTTACGTGGGTGATAATTCGCGTTGCAGATGTCTCAAATTCTGTAAGTAGTAGTTAAAAAGTGTTTGAGATACGGCATTCCGTGGCCTAGTGGATCCCCCCGATTCCTTCTGCTCATCCACATACTTAATCAGCCACGCCCATAATTGGCGGCTGTTAAACTCCTAGGTTGACGCGAGCGCTCAGTAGATGATGCTGTGGGCGAAGTAGCAAAATCAAAAGTGAGTTTAATATTGTGTGTTATCTCTTATCTTCTGTGCGCTTACATCGTCGCTTGCTATCGATTCCTTTACATCTTTACCTAGCTGACCGTCCATTTAACGAACCAATCATCATTTATGGTCACGCTGACCATCTATTTTATTAACCAATCATTGGTCATTGTCGAGTTCCCTTTCTCTCTGATGTGTGTCACAAAGTCTTGGATCGGACAACGGTCAGAGAAGTGGGAACGTCACTGCCTGACAGGACAACGCTGGTGAACCCCATCACACCAAGGCCTGAAGGCTTCACTTAACGGACGACACTGGGTCTCGAACGACCTCTGGTATACCTCTGCCTGTTAAAATCAAAAGTGAATTGTGTTATGCGTTGAATCACGTTCCTACCGTTGCCTATCATCTTTCCTGGTTCGTCCTTCTTTCCAACCGTTTTATCAAATCAGAGAATGTCTTTTCTCATGTTCTTTTCCCAAAAACGGTTCTTCCTTTCTCATGTTCCTTTCCCACAGAACGTTTTCCTTTCCGGTGACAAAAGTGTGGGTGTTTAACGCCACTCAAGAAAATACGAGCGACTGCTGGATCATGGACAGCGGCGAAACGGCACATATGTGCAAGGATAGAGACGCGTTTATTGAGTACGAGGAAACGTCGACAGCTCGCAACGTAAATAGCGCGAAAAACGATGCGAGCTTAAAGGTGCTTGGATAAGGCACGGTCGTCTTGCGTGTTTGGGACGGCACATTGTGGATAAACGCACGACTGGAGAATACACTTCACGTGCAATACCTCAACAAGAACCTGTTCTCGCTGACAGCAGCTACTGCGCGCGGGATGAAGATTGATATCAACAGTGCAGGGTGTATTGTATCCAAAAGCGGGCGAATCGTCGCAACAGGTGTGCGACGTGGGATGCTTTTAACACTAAATGTCGAAGAGGTTCCACAATGCCATGTGCTCGAAAACGAAGCTGAACCGTGGCGTCGCCGACTTGGACACGTGTCATACTCGACCGTGGACTATACACCTATGTACCATACAAAGCCTTGTTGAGCAGACATTTCTTGGGGAAAGGAACATGAGAAAGGACATTCTCTGATTTGAGAAAACGATAGGAAAGAAGGACGGACCAGGAAAGATGATAGGCAACGGTAGGAACGTGATTCAACGCATAACACAATTCACTTTTGATTTTAACAGGCAGAGGTATACCAGAGGTCGTTCGAGACCCAGTGTCGTCCGTTAAGTGAAGCATTCAGGCCTTGGTGTGATGGGGTTCACCAGCGTTGTCCTGTCAGGCAGTGACGTTCCCACTTCTCTGACCGTTGTCCGATCCAAGACTTTGTGACACACATCAGAGAGAAAGGGAACTCGACAATGACCAATGATTGGTTAATAAAATAGATGGTCAGCGTGACCATAAATGATGATTGGTTCGTTAAATCGACGGTCAGCTAGGTAAAGATGTAAAGGAATCGATAGCAAGCGACGATGTAAGCGCACAGAAGATAAGAGATAACACACAATATTAAACTCACTTTTGATTTTGCTACTTCGCCCACAGCATCATCTACTGAGCGCTCGCGTCAACCTAGGAGTTTAACAGCCGCCAATTATGGGCGTGGCTGATTAAGTATGTGGATGAGCAGAAGGAATCGGGGGGATCCACTAGGCCACGGAATGCCGTATCTCAAACACTTTTTAACTACTACTTACAGAATTTGAGACATCTGCAACGCGAATTATCAC